GGGGGGGTGCGCTCCGGCGGCGCGGGGCCTGCCGGGAGGGAACGGAACGGAACAGAACGGCACGGCACCCCCGCCGCGGGGGCGGCCCTTGCGGGCGAACAAAGCGGGCGGCTCCTCAGGCGCAGAGCGGCCGGGCTGGATCCACCCGCGGCGGCAGCTGGGGGCTGTCTGCGATCCCCGGGCGTTTCTCGCCACGGCGGGTACGCGGCCGCTCTCCCGGGAGGGGTAGAGCCCGCCCCGCCTCGCCTCGCCTCCGTAACCGAGGTGGTGTCGGGGGAGAGCGGCTGAAGCTTTACGGGTTCGCCCGGTTCCCGCTGAAGCCAAGCGGCTCCGCGGGCCTCGGCGGTCGCCGCTACCGAAAACGCCGGCAGCGAGAAAGGCGTTTCGGGGAGCGACCCCCCTGCCGCCCCGCAGACGTGCCTGCCCGGCCCCGCGGAGCTGCCCCTCTCGGCCAGGGCCCTGCTGGTTCTTCACGCCGCGGTGCTGGCCCGCGGCGCCGGTCGGCTGGTTTCAGGTCAGCTCCGGCGCGGTGCTTTGAAGTGTTGGTGTCGGACAGCGCTGGCATCCCTCACGGATTCGATTGAGAAATCTGTTTATTATACGGAGTGTAATCGCTTGATAACTGCCGCTCGCTAATCTAATTAGATAACGAGGAACTCGGCCAGCGCTCCTGACTCACAAGAGTAATCGCGAGTTAGTAAACAAATAACACCATCTTCTGCAGAAGTTCAAAGTACTCCCTGCTGCGCTAAAACGGCTTTGCTTAAACTTCAGCTGCTACTAAAGTCCTAATGTGCTGCTCGCTGTTCTCTGCTGCTTTTGGGTGCTTGAGGCAAATACCTCATATTTATTCCTCTGGATTTTTTCAGTCAAGGGTAAGGACCTGGGTTTTGCTATACAGAATTAGGCCCGTTGACCTTATCTTCTGAAGTAGGCGGTAGATAATCTTCTTTTGTGATTGGGGTTTAAATGCAAAATCTTCAATCACAAAGCTTTGAATTTTAA